CTTAAAATCTGTACCCCCATAATATGCTGAAATAAAAAAAAAAGGAACTGAGAGATGAGAAAGGAACTGAGAAAGAGATAAAGAAGGAAGTATTCGGTCTGCAGGCATAATCTAGCAGACACACAGGAGGCCCATGATTCACTGGACTGGAAAATGGAATTGTTTCTCATTTCTGCTCTGACTGCCTACAAAATTCTCAAAGTAAAAAAATGGCCTCAGGGAAAAGATCACATCAAGGATATATATGTAACTCTTAGCTACAATCTCAGAAAAATCTAAGTTAGTGCCCAGTAAACTTCCTCAGCTAGACAAAAGGGCTTCTAAGAATCTTAAAGGCATTGTCACACAGCACACTGACAATCACCTAAAATACACTTGTCTCAAAAAAAATCTGCTCGGTAGACTAGGATCTGATACACTGGAAACACACAATGTTTTTAAGAAAGTTGTACCACCTTTGACTAAAAGAGATTGAGATGGCTCAAAATGAAAAGGGGCTCTGGCAGCTTCCTACGTGTAGGGAAAAGTCGAGAAAGTTAGTGCCAAATGTGGGCCTTTTTTTTTTTTTAAAGAAACTATATCTCAGAGGGTCAAACCAAGAGAGCGGAACCTGCACTAAGCAAAACAATGGCCTAGTGCAGGGGACTTTTTTGATAAAGGACTAGATTAGTAAATGTAGTAGGTTTTGTGGGACACATAAGTCTTGGTCACACATTGTTCCTTGTTGTTGTTTGCTTTGTTTTTTAAACCCTTTCAGAATGTAAAAAAACATTCTTAGCTCAAAGGCAATACACAAACAGGCCATAGGGCACACTTGGCCCATAAGCTATGTGCAGTTTGCCAACCCTGAACTTGGGCACGACACCCAGAGAGAAAGCCTGCGCCCTGCTGAGGGGCATCTCCCACTCCCGGTGCAGGGGTCTGGTAGCAGTGCCGGCTGGATCCCAGAACTTCTGAGGAGTCATGGCTGGGTGCCTCCCACTTTTTCTCCTTTTAGATGAGTGTGTTTACCGTGGCTATCCTGTCACTGTCTCACACTGTATGTTGGCTGCATGAGGGCAGCACACGCCACTTAAAGCCTTTTTAGTCCACAGGTGTGTGGATCAGGAGAAGCCACACCCAAACAGCCTCATCTGTGTTAACACTGATAATGAGATACTGGACTTCAAGCCTTTTGCTGTAATGGGATGAAACTTTTATGGGTGCAAATGGTGAGTATTTTGCACATGAGAGGAATATAAATATTTGTGGCCAGAATGAGGCATTATAGTACATTAAAATAGTCACAGATTCTTTGAGGTTCCTCCTATCAAGAGATGGAGTCTTTTCCCCCATTTCTGGAACTTGGGCGGGTCTTTTGACTTGCTTTGTCCAACAGGATGCAATTGAAATGATGTGCACAAGTTCCAAGCCTAAGCCTCAAGAGGCCCGTCAGCACCTATGCTGACCTACTGAGACACTGCCGCTGTGGGAAGAGGCCCCACGGAGCTGCTGGAGGCTGAAAGATCACTCATGAGCCCCCAGACATCCCACCTGAGGCCCAAACGTCACAGTGAGCCCAGGCAAGATCTGCAGAAGGCTGCTCAACTGAGCTTAGCCCAGGCTGCCAACCAACAGAATGCTGACTATTGACTGTCATAAACCCGAGGTCTGGGTAGTTTGCTACCAGCTAACGCTAGCTAATACACAGGGCAATGTGATAAAGAGACAGTGAGATTTCTGGAAGGAAGATCCAGAAAGTTCATGCAAAAAGGGGAATAGTACCCTTTATGCCTTTTATATAATGCCCTTGTATTACTGTTCTGTGAAAAATAACCAACGGCCTGACCCACAGGAATCACTTGGCTGATGTGAGTTCCTTTCCTTTTCACTACAACGCGTTTTTTCTCCTCCTTTCAACAGTTTCTAAATTAAGGTTTCTATTTTGAGACTGAAGTGCTGCTGACATCCAACAAAACCAGTAATTATTATTAACAGTGTTTGGGTCTGTGGCTTGGACAGCATGGGCAGAATGCCCTTACCAGTGATTTATTGTAACAATTCCACCCCTAGGGATAGTCATTCTCCGCTGCCAAGTTCACACAGAGCCTCAGAACCAGCCTGTTCTAGAATAATTTCCTCTTGTACCTTGGCATTTCTAAAATAAGGCAGGACTTGACTAGTCCAAGGACAGATTCGAGCTGTGGACAAGGGGCCGTGAGCGAGCCTCAGAGCGGCCAATGGGTGACTTGTCTGGGTCACACAGCCAGGAGGGGGAGGGGCGGGGTCTGAACCCAGGCCACCTGGCCGCTGGGGTCTTCCCACATCTTGCTGCTTCCTGTAAGGCATGTGACACTCAGGAAGTTGCCAGACTGCACATGGGTGTACGAGCGAGAAAGAGAGAGTGCTCGTCTTAGAAGACGGAACCAAGTGAGAGACAGAGCCAGCTGTGCTACTGGGGTGAGCCGTGGGGCAGGCTGGTGCTCGTCCCCGCCCCAGACTGTGCCCCACACGGGCAGGAGCACCCAGCGTCCACTCAGAGCTGTTTGCTCTGAGAAATACTGGCACAGCCAGCCCGACGGCTCCAACAGACGTCCCCGCACACCGTCTGAAATGGCAAAGAACCGGAGTGGCCCGCAGTGGGTGGCGTGATAAGCTCCCAAGACCTCCACTTTGGCAATGAAAGATCTGTCCCCTAGAGTCCAGGACGGCTGCAGGCAGATGCCCCTCAGCTGTGAGCCCTGTTGGAACTGCCTTCCAGGGAGGGAGCGGCCCGGCTCACGTCTGCAGTTCAACTGTCCACAGGCCTTTCCCTTGCGGGTCGCCAGCCAGGGGAGGAAAACAGCTCTCTGCCCTCGTCCAGGGCAATGCGACAGACACCAAGATCCCAACGATGCCACCCCCGGAGCTGCGTAAACCTCACTGACAGCTCCAGAATCCCAGTATCCACCCGGACCCTCCTGTCCACATCCACTCTTAGGCTGTTAAACCTGTAAGAAGCCCATGGAGGGATGTGGAAAACTGCTTAGGACTCAACCTTGGGTGAGAAAAAGATGCAAGATCGACAATGGCCTTGGACTGCAACTCTGTGTGTGGCAGTGGTGTGATTCATGGCAACTGGGACGGAAATATGATGTCTTCCTGATGTTAAACAGACACATGAAGATCCGAATTGATCCGTGGGCAAAGAACACAATCGGACATTCACGTAAGGAAAAATACATGCAAAATGTTAAACGTAATTAGCAATTAAAGAACTGCAATGAAAGCAACAATGGCAGATGCCCTTAACCACGGAATTAGCAAGGGTTTCACAGAAGCAGGACGCCCGACGGAGGACGCGCACGGGGCTGGACATTGTGGCCAGGATCTGCGGGCGCACAAGTGGGGCCTCTTTCAGGAAGCTGATTTGGCAACAAGCGGCATGGTCCTGAAAAATGCTAAAACTTTTGACCTCCTAATTCCATTTCTGGATATCTAAGAAAGAAAAGCAGACATGCAAACAAACATTTATATACAAAGATGTTCATTATAACACGATTTATAATAAAACAAACAGAAAACCTAAATGCCCCTCAAAAAGAATACCATTGAGCAAATTAACAATTAAATTGTATATCATGAGCCATTAAAAAGTTACTGATGAAGAATCACGTCACTCATAGCACGTCAAGTGGAAAAGAAGGGATGCAAGCGACAGCTACCACGCAGACGCACCGAGAGAAGCGCCCCCGGAGACGGCGAGGGGCCGTAATCCTCTCCACAAAGGGGAAACGGGAAAAAAGGTTTTCCCTTCTATTTTCTGGCTTTTCAAATGTAGGGGATGATGATAGTTTTATAATGAGAAACACAGCAGATGTATTTTAAAAAGCGCGAACACGCCCTTGCTCTCCGAGGAGCGCCTCCGTCCAGGCTGCCTGCACAGGGAGCCCCGCACCCTTTCCGGACTCAGCACCGCGCCCTGCCTGGACTCAGCACCGCGCCCTGCCTGGACTGAGCACCGCGCCCTGCCTGGACTCAGCACCGCGCCCTGCCTGGACTCAGCACCGCGCCCTGCCTGGACTCTGCACCGCGCCCTGCCTGGACTCTGCACCGCGCCCTGCCTGGACTGAGCACCGCGCCCTGCCTGGACTCAGCACCGCGCCCTGCCTGGACTCTGCACCGCGCCCTGCCTGGACTCAGCACCGGGCCCTGCCTGGACTCAGCTCCGCGCCCTGCCTGGACTCTGCACCGCGCCCTGCCTGGACTCAGCACCGCGCCCTGCCTGGACTGAGCACCGCGCCCTGCTCGCTCTGCCCGCTCTGTCGCTCTTTGCTTCCTTTGTGTCCTCTGTTCAGCTGACCTCATGCAACAAAGTGACACCGCACAGTGTCCATGCTGCACAGGGACACCTGGAGTAAACCCAGACATAGGGGAGCCAAGGTGGGAGGTGGAGACATATAGACATGGCCCCCCACCTCAACAGAGCTTGGGGCTTAACAGAAGAGCCAGACAGACAACCAACATCCCACAATGCAAGCACAATGGAAGAAGTACCCCAAAGAGTCCCAGGCAACTGGCTTTGGATATTCAGGAATGCAGCAGTTCCGACTGGGGACTAGAAGTGCTGGCTGAGCTGGGTCTTGAAGGAGAGTGGCGTCTGGCGGGCAGAGGGGCATTCCTAGCTAGGGAACCGTGTGAGCAAGGCCCCGCAGTGTTGCAGGTTTCGGGGACAGCAGCCAGGACAGCAAGTCCCCAGGACAGGTTGCAGCAGAGGAGGAAGAGTGAGGCTAGCTCCGCGAGGGCCTCGCACGACAAGCTATGGAAACTGGGCCCACTTCTGTGGGCAAGGGACACCTCCAGGGGGCTTCAAGGAAAGGACAGACACTAGAAGGAGTGGCCCGTTTCTTCGCTGCTTATGTGGCAGTGCACAGCTCATAACCAATCAGAGTAGGTGCAGGTGAAAGGATTTTCGCTCCACATAATCTTTGGATCTACCCAGGAACCAGGGATCGAAAGCCTCCTCCTGGGCTGTGACTGACCTTTGTCCTGGGCCAGCACCTCCAGCTCCTCCCGAACGCCATCGTGCCAGCTCGTGATGTCCACATGCAGGGAGTAGTCGCAGCAGGATTTGGTGTCAGCTGCTTCGTGCCACTTCTCGAAGGAGGTCAGCAGGCTGGACCCAGGCTCAGGAACAACATGGTCAACTGGGGCAGAGAAATAAATGCGTGTCACGATGCTTAGGACCCAAGTGCTCCTCTGGAGCCACATGACGCCCACCGTCAGGTCACCATCACCGTCCTTTCCACCATCACTCCCACCGTCACTGTCACACTGCATCTCTAATCATAGCATCTGCAGTGACGTCACCACCACCATCTTCAGTCATCACCACCACCGTCACCAACACCGTCACCAGCACCGTCACCGCCACCAGCACCGTCACCAGCACTGCCACCAGCACCGCCACCGTCACCGTCACCAGAACCGCCACCGTCACCGTCACCGCCACCAGAACCGCCACCTGCACCGTCACCAGCACCGCCACCGTCACCGCCACCAGCACCGCCGTCACTGCCACCATCACTGCCACCAGCACCGTCACCGCCACCGTCACCACCACCGTCACCAGCACTGTCACCGCCACCGTCACCAGCACTGGCAGCAGGAGCAGCACAACTATTTGTGCAACGCTGTGAGTCGGACCGCACTGAGGCTTTACGGAAATTTCCTCATTCAATCCTCACAACCTCCCTGTGATGTGAATATTAACATCCCCACTTTCCAGATGAAGAAAACTGAGGCTCAGACAGGGTGAGGCACTTGTCCAAGGTCACACATCTGGTAAGCGGAAACTTTGCCCACTGCTCCACGCTGCCTCCCAAAGCACAGAATGTCACCACAGAATGTCACAATGAAAAGAACCTTAGAGATTGAACAAGTTCCCTTCAGTGTCCATTTTTCAAATAAAATCTTAAATGTGATGTGGGTCAGAAGGGGCCCTGTCCTTTCAGCCCCACTCAACCTGCACATCCTTGTGGCGGCTTCTCTGCACACCCGCACTGCACAGCCACTCCTCGCCCCGGACAGCGCCACGCGCTCCCGCCCCTCACTCCGCCGCCTGCCGCAGTGCCAGCCTTCGCTGGCGTGAGCCTCACGTCTCCAAGTCTAGCGCAGCGTGCCACCCTCACTCCCTCGGCCTCTCACGGCACAAGGAGTCACTCCCTCCTCCCTGAAGCGCACTCCTTGCTGCGTGGCCACACCACCAGCTGGCTTTCTCCGGCCGCCGCCTCTCGACGTCCCTGAGCACTCTGCACCCTCTACTTGTGCACGGAGTGACTGAACGCCTTCAGCCTCGGTCCTGGAACTTTTCTTTCCCTGCACCTGCTCCTCAAAATGGCCACTTCCTCTGAGCTACGGAACTCTGAACCAAGTCGTGCCCTTGCCCTCTCCGCCGGGCTGGCTGAAAGCTCCTCAAAGTCAAAATGCTCAGAACCTCATGCCGCAGTGCCCCACTGGCAAACCTGCCCCCCAGTATCACCTGACAGCTCCACAAGCCAGAAGCCACCGGGGAGCCCCCGGCATTTCCTTTCCCTCGCACACCTGCCATCCAACCCACCGCCAAGTGCTGCGGCCCCGGCCCCTGTGTCGCTGGAGCTGTCCACTCTGTCCACTCCATGGCCAAGCCACCCTCACCTCTCAGTTGAACTGTGCAGTCGCCTCCCCACTCTGCAGCCACTCCCATCTGGGCCACTCTACCCTGGTCTCTCCAAAGCCCACACAGACCACATCCCACTCCCTGCTTAAACTCCTTCAGCGGCTGCCTGTCACCCGTATGAAAAGAGCAAAGTCCTTACCTTGGCCACCAAGGTTCAGCACGCCCCAGCTTTCAGTCTCCCCTCATGAGAGTCCACCCCTCAGTCTCTGCACCCCACCGGTGGGCTTTCCCGCAGCCTCTGGGGTGTGAGGTGCATTCTCCCACCACAGGACCTTTGCACATGCTGTTCCTTCCTCTTGGTGCCCTCCGCCCTCTTCACCCAGTTAATTCCAATTCATGCAGATCCCCGTATAAATACATGCTGCTTCTTCAGAGGAGGCTTCCCTGAGCCCCTGCCCTGCTGTTAAAAGCACTGCGCCCCTTTCTTTCATAGCACTAGTCACACTTTGTCATCCTGTCGGGCATTGACCAGGACTCCCTGCGAGATGGCAAGCCCTTGAGAATAAGCATCATTCCTGCTTTTGTCCGCCTGGCACAGTGGTGCCTGCTGCAACGTGTCTGTCAACCGGCACCTGCTGAGTGAAGAAACGGGGCGGTGGCCACGTCAGAGCCTGACTGTGGTCCTCATGGTTCTAGGTGTTGCTGAAGCGTGCACTGAAACGGCCCTGCACAGGAGGTGGGGAGGCTGCAGGGCGGGGGTCCCAGGGCCTTGGAGAAGGAGCAAGCGGAGATCCCAGGGACCCTGGCTCCTTGCTCAGGGTGCTGTCCCCTGCCCTGTGTGGGACTCATCTCTACTTCTAGAACTCTCAGGTGCCATGCACTACACTGAGGAATCTCACGGATGTGTCCAAACACACTGAGGGCCTCTTCTCCGAAAGCCCACATTGTGGACGCGGGCACCGGGGCTCACGGAGCAGCCGTGCGCAGGTTCACGCTGTGGCGGCGGGATCCACGTCCAAGTCTGACGGGGCCCAAGCCTGGGCTCTCCCCCTTTCCCAGCCAGCAGGTCCAAGGGCAGACCTTGGCGAGAGGGTCAGAGGCCAAGCCACGCCTTCCTGGCTCAGGGGACTGGGGCAGCGCAGACCCTCCAGCTCTGCCCGCATAGGGCTGGCTCTTGCCCCCGAGGGCACTTCCCCAGGGACCCGCAGGAGGGACAAAGCTGGGCAGGGCTGGGGCCAGCTCACAAGCAGCCCACAATTGGAGAGCCTAATAGTTAAAAGAACATTTGCAATCAACTGTTGCCTATTTAATTAAAATCACTTATTAAAATGGAATCCAAGCCAAAGCAGCTATACACAAAACACAAAACCACCACCAGGCCGCACGGGGCAGCTGCCCAGCAGGCCACTGTGATAGAATGGTACAGTGTCCACGGCTTTTCCTTCCTGCCCCAACCTCCCCAGGGTCACCGGGGCAGAGCCTACTCCCGGTGACTTTGTGATCGGTGTGTGACTGTGGCCAGCAGCACTGGGTAGAAGTCACAGCATGAAAGCCAGGGAAGGGGGGAGGAGTGGCAAATTTCGGCCAGGCCCCTGCACTCTGCCACTCACCAGGAAAACAGAACAGCTGGGGAGTCACGGGTACCAGGAGATCTATGGCACCCCGAATCCAACCTACAGCTGGGCAGACCACTCCAGCCCCCAGCCCCACTCCTGTTGACCCCGGAGTGAGGAAAACAGGCATTGCTTGAGATCTGGGGGCTGTTTGGTACACAGCATTGCTGTGGTGTTACGGCAGCAACACTGACGAATACAACCACTTCTAAGCTGTGGCACCTTGGGCAAGTTACTTTACCTCTCTGAGCCTCTATTTCCCCATTTGTCATAATAATACCGACGTCACTGGTTCTAAAACTTTAGCCATCTTCACAGCACGTTGCAGCATTTTTTTTCCTTTGGCTTTATCTACCTATAATCCATACCTTCTTTACTTAATACTTTTCTTTAAATCAATTCCATTCTAAAACTCTAAATGCAACTTTAGTCTCATCCTGAGCCAAGTGCCTGGGGTGTGCCGAGCACTGTGGTGATGCCAGTGATGACAAAGAGAACTCACACCTAGGTCCCTAGGGCCAGGGACAGTGCCACTCACTGATCATTGTGGTCCCGCCCACCAGCGCCGCCTTGGTCCCTTGGAAGAAGTCATCGGCCGCGGTCATGCCCTGGCAGGGCTTCTGCAGGCACGTGTTGACATCAATGCCTCCGGGAATCACCATCCGCCCACTGGCCTCGATGATCTTCACTCCACCAGGAACAATCAAGTTCTCTCCCATCTGTCTGCAGGCAAACAGCAGAGACGGCTTTGGGTTCTTAAGAGGCAGGTGGGAGAGACTCTCACCTGTGCAAGTTCAGTTCCACTCAGTAAACATTTCTGACCAGGCTCCCACAGGCCCGGGGTAGAGAGGGAGAGCTCAGAGCGCTCTCCCGCAGGCCTGGGGGAGGGCTGGGGGACAAGCCACAGAGTCATGAGGAGGAAGCCATGTGGGCAGAATGCAGAGAGGGTCAGGGAGCGTGCAGCAGGCCGCTTCACCCAGCCTGGCCATCTGGGAAGGCTTGCAGGGGGAGGAGGTGGCAGAGCTCAATCCAACAGAGGTGAGACCAGCGTCCATCAAGTGGCCCAGTCTTGTCTGAGTAGCCTGTCACTCTAGAGTACTTTTACATACTTCTGGCAACGTGGAATCACAGCCTGGTCTAACTAGGGCCTGGGACTCGGTCACCATGCTGGGGGCCCCAAGTACTCTAATGAGGCCCATGCATCTCAGGTGTGGTCACGGCCTCCGCGCACCTCTAGTCCCCCGCCTTGACCCTGTGAGGTGGGAGGTATTCCCAGGGTGCAAAGGAGGAGGATGGCACTCAGAGACGTGTGGTGACTCGTCCAAGGCCACGCGGTGAGCCAGTGACGGGCGCGATCCAAGCCCAGGTCTCCCCAAGTGAGACACCGGGGCTCTGGCCGCCAGCACCGCCTCCCCTCCCTCACACGGGAGCCAGACTCTGGCCGCCCGGGCGAGATGGGACCCGCGAGGGGCAGGGGAGGGGAGAGGAGACGGGAAGCGGGACTCAGTGGACTAGACTGACGCCACCACACCACCTCCTGGCTCCCAGAAACCCGGTGACCAGCTTTTCATTCACAGTGCTGAATCGGCTGGAAGAATTTGTGACTCATAATTCAATGCGTCATAGCAGCCGAACAGCTTTCAGGAAAACTTGGCAAATGGCCACAAAATCCAAGGGTTCTTGGGGCTTAAGTACAGTGAAGGAAAACAACGGTGCCCCCACATGCCAGCGGTCCTGGGGCCAGCACGCGGCCCCCGGCCCTGCGCTTGGGAAGCTGCAGTGTCAGCCACCGGTTCCTGCTGGGAGGCCCCGGCCTCCGCAGGGCCCAGGCGCCCTCGCTCTGCTTGGCAGGGCAGGAGAGGCTGCCAGCCCGGGCTTTGCATAACAGCAGAGCTGGCAAACACTGCTCGTTTCCTGAACGGCCCGGCTAGCCACAGTCCTAGGACTCTAGGTGCTCAGACATACAGCAGGCACTTCATAAAGCAGCTCAGCCGACGGCCTCTTGCTCCACGTGCAGACCCCCGGGGCCCAGAGCTGTGCACGCGGGCTGCGGTGGGGTGGCCCGCTGGAGCGGCAGGCAGCGCGTGGCTGTGGGCCGGCCGGTGGCCGGGAAACAGTTCTGAGCTGCGTTTCACCCTTCGAGGCTCAGAACCCCAGAAGCCCCCACCAACAGAGAGGCGCCGCGCCAGAGCTGTTTTCTCCACGTCTAAGCAGTGGTTGAGTCAGAAAACCTCGCTTCTGGACACGTCTCCACACACTCCCCACCCCGACCCGCCTTTATCCCTTTCTGGTTCCAGGCTGTCTGTCCGTGGCTGACACCAGTGTCCTCCCCATGTGACAGTCGATGCCCATCTGTTTACACCTTCCCTTGATCACTACTCCTGGGCACTGTCCCTGTCCCAGGCGCGGTGGGGCCCGGCGCGGGTGAGGCAGGTCAGCAGGAAGAAGGCTGCGGCAGACAGCAGCCCGCAGGCCGTAGGGACGGAGGGAGGCACTCCGCACGGAAGGCTTCCTGGAGGAGGAGCTGCATGAGCTGGGCCCAGAGGGACAAGCAAGAGTTGAGGGAAGGTGGAGGGCGGGGTGGGGTGCACTCCAGGCAGGGCCTCATGGGCACAGGGCCCCAGAGAGAGCCAGGCCTGCATCCTGGCCAGAAGAGCCAGCCCTGGAAGGGGAAGGTATGGAGCTGGAGGAAGGGAGGCCTGAGAACCCTGAGCTGGACTCGAAGTGGTCAAGGCCTTTGATATTGTTGGGATGTCTGGCCCCTCCAAATCTCATGTTGAAATATGATCCCCACTATTCGAAGTGGGGCCTGGTGGGAGGTGTTTGGGTCATAGGGCAGATGCCTCATGCCAGGCCTGGTGGCAACGAGTGTTTCTCATCTATTAGCTCCCAGGGGAGCTGCTTGGTAGAGCCCAGCACCCTCTCCTCCTGCTCTTGCCCCTCTTTCTCCATGTGACACCTGCTCCTCTTCTTCCTCCGTGAGTGGAAGCTCCCTAAAGCCATGCCAGCGCCATGCTTCTTGTACAGCCTACAGAACCTCGAGCCAAATATAGCCCCATTCGCTATAGGGCTCTATAGGTTACCCAGCCCAGGTTATTTCCTTTCTAGCAACACAAGTGGACCAAGACAGCCTGGGACTAGAGTTGGGGGTGGACAGATGGGAGCAGGAAGGGCTCCGCCGTCCTGGGCAGCACCCTTCACTGGGTGCGCTGCATATGTGGCCTCTCCCAAGGCTCCCAGTAATCCACAGGCACCTCTCACCGTGTGGCTCCTCCTCCTCCAAGCCTACGTGGACCCCAGGTAGGTGCTGTTAACAGGACCCATCCCTGCCTGACCTTCGCCTTGCTCCGAGTCCCCTGTGCCTTTCCTTTCTGTGCCCACCACCCACGCCGGAGCCTGAGGCAGTGTCCTCCTCTCCTTGTCCACATTCCCAGGGGACAGGCCGAGCAGCAAGTGAATGCAGGGACTTCCGGAGACGCCAACTGCACTGCTCCATCACCAGCTGGCCAGATGTGGGAGGACACACAGGAACCACTGCCTGGTGTCATGGAACAAACTCTGGCCCCACACATGTTCAAGTCCCACCCCCCACCGCGTGACTGTCTTTGGAGATGGGCTCTCTAAGGAGGTAATCAAGGCTAAAAGGGTCCTAAGAGGGGGGCTCTGATCCATCAGACAGGCAGCCACTACAAGAAGAGGGAGACAGCAGGGCTGTGCTGCAGAGGCACTGCGCAGAACGCAGGGAGAGCCACCGCCCACAAACCCAGGAGAGAGACCCCAAGAGAAACCACCCCCGACGGCACCCTGATTCAGGACTTGCAGCCGCCAGGAACATGAGAAATACATTTCTGTTGTTTAGACCACCCAGCCCATGGCATTCTGCTAGGGTAGCCTGAGCAGACTGAGATACCTGGGCTGTCATAGTGGAGCTGAGAGGAAGCCAGCAGGAAGAAAGCAAAGGAAACAGATCTTTTCCTTAGGCGCCAAGGCTGCGCCTGGAAGCCATACATTCCTCCTTTCTCCCTCCATCTCCTCAACCCAATTCCAGAAATTACAGGCAGAGAAGAAGAAAGAACCATGAATTGAGTTAGCTATTCCAGGGTGAGCCCGGGCCTTGCCCTAGCCCGCTCTGCTACGTGGGCCAGCCCTCAGCAGCACCAGCCTGCGCTTCCAGAACAACGAAACAGGGTCCACTCTGCACTTCACAGCCCCAGCGTGAGTGCTAAACGAGATGCCGCCCTGTCGCGTGGCCGAGCCTGGCGCAGATGGGCGCCCAACAATGCCAGCCCCTGCCCCGCCCGCAGTTTGAAGCCCTCCACCTCTGTGAGGCCTCCATCCCCAACACACGGCCACGCGCAGGTGCTTGGGGCAGGGCACCGCCTCCCTGCCCTCTGAGGCAGGCGGCCTGGGGACAGGTGTCTTGACAGGTCTGTTGGGTCAACCCACTTTATAAGTCCATCTTCCAAGTAGACGTCGGCGTAAAAGGACTGGTCATCGTTGATGATTCGTCCCCTTTTGATGAGGAGTCGGTCGCTCTGAAAAGCAAAGCAAGGTAGTCAGGATCATTGGCAAAAAGCTAAGAGAAACTTTTTAAACTTTTGATATAAAAATCCTCGAATATATTCAAAAGCAAAGAAACAGCATAAAAAAGCCCCTTGAGACCCACCCTTCAATACGCCACCATTCTCATTTCACCCGGTACTCCCTTCCACAAAAAACTTTGTTTTTGCTAATGTATTGTAAAACAAGTCCCAAGCATTGTATCTGCCCACCCATACACGCTTCAGTATGTGTCCCTGGCTGTTAAGGGCTTTTTAAATAAACATAACCATAATTCATGACCCAACTAACCAGTTATCAGTCAATAATCAGACCCTGCTGCATTTTACTTGATTGTCTCACAAATGCCTTTTTGTTTGTCTGTCTGTCTGTCTGTCTGAGACGGGATCTTACTTTTTCTGCCAGGCTAGAGTGCCATGGTGTCAGCCTAGCTCACAGCAGCCTTTAACTCCTGGGCTCAAGGGATCCTCCTGCCTCAGCCTCCCTAGTAGCTGGGCCCACAGGCACGCACCACCACACCTGGCTAATTTTTCTATTTTTGTAGAGACGGGGCCTTGCTCTTGCTTGGGCTGGACAAATGTCTTTCGCCGGCTGGTTGGTTTGGCTCAGGATCCATGCCAAGTCCTACGGTGCACCTGCCTCAGCCTTCTCTGCTGTCTCTGTTGACACCCGCACCAGCCCCTCCTCCCTTCTGAATGTCATTCATTTGTTGAAGAAACTGGGTCATTTGTAGAACAGGAATTTCTCAAGGCATTATTAAATATGATAGTGATCAACTTAGAGACATTTTAAAAGATAGTGAAACCCTCCGCTCCTCCCACAGAGCTTGCAACCGACACTGGGATGTCTTCCCCACTTCCCCCGCTGCCCTCGGCTGTGGCCCCGACCCACACATCTTCCCCATCCACGTGCTCGTCGCCACTCACGGTCATCTCAGCTCCGAGCCCAGGGCCCGGCCCCGAGGCGCCAGAGGGGTCCAGAAGAGAGCTGGAATCAGCTCCCACGGGCCGACAGATGGAGGGACAGATGTTTAACAAGGCATGGGTGTCAGGGGGCTCAGGAGGAGAGGAGGGGCCTGCACGGAGCCACATACAGCAAGCACAGATGCGGGAATTAAGTCCAGATAAGCTGGACCGGCAGAGTTGCCAGGGAGAAGGCCGGGCACACGCAGCACGTGCTGGGCTGAGAGAGTGACGTGCAAACCCAGAGAGCAGCGAAGAGCAGGAACCAAAAGTCACACGACCCCGTCCTCCCTGCGTTTTACCATGAGCACGTCCCAACTGCTGACATGTTCTTCACAGCTGTCATTTTCAAATGGCTACAAAATATTCCATCTTATGGGCACATAATGAATTATTCAATTATTCCCCCACTGTTAAATATTTAAGCTATTTTCAATTCTTCATAGGGATGTCTATTGCTGCAATGAACACCTTTGTGCACAAAACTTTTTTCTTAATTTGGGTGACTTGTTAAGCAAAATCCTCAGAAGCTCAACAATGGGGTCAAACAGTATAAACCCTGTGTGTGGCCCTCCATGAACACGACCAAACTGCTTTCCAAAAGTGTCTCCCATTCCACACACAAGGATATTGAGCTCGCTTATGTCATCAGCATTTGATTTGCATTTCTCGACGGCTGAGAATTTCTTTCCATGTGCCTATGCACCGCCCGTGTCCTGTCCAAGCTGGAGCTGTGGCAAAGAGCAACACAGCGTCTGCCCGGAAGCCCCGGGTTGGGAGAGGGAGGCGGACAGGAACAGGCCAGCGCGGCTGCTGCCGAGGGAGTGTCTCCTCCAGGACTTGGAGGCTGGGTGGGTATGGACAGAGGGAGGGACAGACAGATGAATGGTGGATGGATGGATCGTGAGAGGCGACTCCAGGGACTGGAGGGAAGAAGGGTGCAGCATCTCTCTGATAAATCAATCCGGTACCGGGTGCAGACTGGTCGGGCTAGCACTGTGGGCGTGAGCCTGCCAGGGCCCTCTGAGGCAGTGTATACAGAAGGCATCTCAGAATGGTCCCAGTGGTCCTATGGCATCTACTGTAAGAGGTGGACAGAGGGTGCTCTGCCAGCCCAGAGAAGAGTTTAGCGCAAACTAAGGAACGAGGGAACTTTCTGAACAGGAACAGATCACGCAGTGGGCTGCTCAAAGCCCGCTGGCCCGCTCCTATATCAGCAGCGCATCTTCCTCAGAGTGAAAGCTGAGGTCAGCGGGGACCCCAGTTAATCTGGAATCCCCACTATTTTGGCAAGTTTCATGCTCTTACTTCCTTCAGGACCCTGCTCAGTGACACTTATCTGAGAGCCCTCACCTTGACTGTCGTGTCTGGAACACCACACACCACCACCCCGACAGCAAACCCTACACCTCCACCCACTTTATGTTTCCATAGTATTTGTCATAGTACATTTGACACACTGTATATTTGCATGTATGTCTAAAATGTGACTTGCTGCACTGGAGGCAGAGCTTGGGTGTGTTACTTGACTTGTGCAGGGCACAAGTTCACAGGGGACCAAGGGCACGTGCACCAATGGGTCTGGTGCCATCTGGAGTTTGCCCAGCAGTTGTTCTCGCTAGGCTTTTAGGTCCATGTGGGCAGGGACTTTGTCTGATTCTGCACTGCTGCATTTCCAATACCTCGGCCACAGCCTGCATGCTAGATGGCTGGATGCGTGGATGGATGGATGGATGGATGGATGGGTGGATGGATGGATGGATGGATGGATGGATGGATGGATGGGGGGATGGATGGGTAATGGCTGGATAAATGGATGATGGGTGAATAGATAGATGAATGATGGAGGGAGGGAGGGATGGAGGGAGGAAGGCACAGGTGGATGGATGCATGGGTGGATGGATGGGTGATGGATGGATGGATGGATGGATGGGTGATGGCCAGATGAATGGATGATGAGTGAATAGATAGATGAATGATGGATGGATGGATGGAGGGAGGGAGGGATGGATGGATAGATGTGTGGGTGGATGGATGCATGGGTGGATGGATGGGTGATAGATCGATGGATGGATGGGTTATGGCCAGATGAATGGATGATGAGTGAATAGATAGATGAATGATGGAGAGAGGGAGGGAGGGATGGAGGGAGGGAGGGAGGAATGGGTGGATGGATGGGTGATGGATGGATGGATGGAGGGATGGGTAGATGGATGCATGGGTGGATGGATGGGTTATGGATGGATGTATGCCTGGGTGGATGGATAGACGGATGGGTGGATGGATGGATGGGTGATAGATGGATGGATGGATGGGTGATGGCCAGATGAATGATGAGTGAATAGATGAATGATGGATGGATGGATGGATGGGTGGACTGGATCGCATGGAGGTAGAATTGGATGGTGATGGATGGATAGATGGATAGGTGATGGCCGGATGAATGGATGATGGGTGAATAGATAGTTGAATGATGGATGGATGGATGGATGGCGATGGATGGATGGATGGGTGGATGGATGCATGAGAGGATGGATGGGTGATGGATGATGGATGGGTGATGAATGGATGGATGGATGGGTGATGAATGGATGGATGGATGGGTGGATGGATGGCAGTGCGGGTGGATGCGAGTGGGCTGATCGGATGGCACGCAATGGATGACGAGTGAATAGACAGATGAATGATGGGGCTAGATGGGTGGCAGGGAGGGAGGGCGAGAATGATAGATGCGATGGATGGTATGTCTGGATGCCGATGGATGGATGGATGGATGGATGGGTGATGTATGAATTAATGGATGATGGGTGGATAGATAGATGAATGATGGATGGATGGAGGGAGAGAGGGAGGGAGGGAGGGATGGATGGATGGATGGATGGATGGGTGATGTATGGATGAATGGATGACGGGTGAATAGACAGATGAATGATGGCTAGATGGGTGGAGGGAGGGAGGGAGAGATGGATGAATGGATGGATAGGTGGGTGGATGGATGGATTGTATGGAGGGATAAATAGGTGGGTAGATGGGTGGATGGATAAGTGGGTGGGTGGATGGGTGGGTAGATGGGTGGATGGATAAGTGGGTGGGTGGATGGGTGGGTAGATGGGTGGATGGATAAGTGAGTGGGTAGATGGATGACTGAACTGATTCTTGAAAGATGAATGGGTGAGGGGGGAGAGAAAGGCATCACAGCCATGAGTCAAGTAAGAGAAGTGTGAAGCAACCTATCCTATTCTCCAGAAGGAGCGTCTCTAGAAGAAGGAGCTTCAAGTTAAGTTGCTCCCAGGCCCAACAACCTATTTTTATCCCTAAAATAGAAGCCAGACATGATTTGTGCATCCCCAGGGAGGAGACTTACCAAGCCCTCTGGACGACGCCCAAGCCCAAGGCAGAGAAGCGGCCTGGGCCCTGCACGTCCAGGAGGCACAGAGGAGCTGCAGTGCAGGTCTCCCGCCACACCGGGAAGCAGGACAGAGTGCGCCTCCAGCAGCTGCACACGGCCTCTGGAACGTGGCACCCGCAGGCCGCTGCTGCCTTGTCACATTTAATAGCTGGCTTTCTGGGCTCAGCCTGAAAGGTGGTATTTAATGCACTGCATGCCAGAAGACAGGCACCAACCCTCTCTGCTCTTCCAGAGTGAGACGGCGGAGCTTGTGCTCAAACTCACCCCCTCCCCTACTACCACCAGACACCAAGTGCAGGGACCTCAGGGCTCCAAGCTCTTGGCATCGCTGAAGCACCAGCATATTTCTGAAAAAATAAGCTCACAATAAGGTAAGAGCTGATGTGACATCTTCATGTTCTTTCTTAAAACTGGTAGTTCCTTTGCCTTTTCTCTTTTTTTTGACCAGTATGAAAACAAGTTTATTCTATCTTGTCATTGTTATTGTTTTCCTCCCTGATCCTAGTAACATGGAATGCTTGAACATTTTACACATGGCACTTTCAAAGCCATGTTCTTCAGAACTCTAGGTCAGAAGGATATGGGTAGATACTGTTCCGGAAAG